TAAAAAAAAAATCTTTTATTTGCTTTCTGGCTGAATGAACTTTGGCAGTTTTGGTAGAGCAGAGACACTGGCAGCATATTCAGCATTTGTGTGATGTAGAAAGTTTTGTTCATCTTTTGAAACATAGAAAGTTTGTCTTTTTCTTTCTTAGTACTTCACTAATGGCTCTCCATTGTCTGTTGATTGCTAGTTTCTGAAAAGAACTTTTCTGTTACTCCTTTTCACTGATTATTAGACATTTACGACATACACTTGTAGGTTTTTCTTTAGTTCTATTTTACTTTGCCTTTCCCGAATTGTTAGATTGGCTTAGAGTTTCATTAGACATGAAGAGTTTTGCCCATTCACTCCCCAGATATTTTTAGTTATTCCTTCTCTTCTCCCTTAGGCTTTCTGCCTCACAGATTCTGGCTGTTGTCACCCTTTCCGGCTCACATGTCTGCTCCCTCCCACTTGGCAAGGTCCGCACTTTTTGTTTGTGTTTCCCATCCCTACACACATCCTGCAAACGGTCCCTGTCAATCTTACCTTGTTTTCTACCCTCTTGCCACATTTTCATTTCTCACTACCAGTGATTAGTTCTTTGCTAATTCAGCCTTCAGTAAAATGTGGCTCCTACAGAGGACAAGAAAGAGAAGCAACTTAGGAAGAGGAGGACCCACCCCAGGGAGGGCAGAGCAGCTGCTGTACGTAGCATCCTCTATACGTGTGTGACTCACATCCTCAATGAGTCGAGGACGTCACTTCAGGTCACCCTAAGGCTATCTCCCAAGGGCCTGACCTCCTTTCACAACTGTCCTGTTTTCTCCAGGGTAGGAAGGATGCTTGGGGCTTGCACAGCAAGATATAATAAGGCAAAGGCTCTGCCTCCCATAGTCATGATCGGTTCAAAGCAAGCCAAACAGCAATTTTATTCTCACAGAACTGGTCTGGAGTCAGTCAATCATTGTACTCACATCCTCTATACGTGTGTGACTCACATCCTCAATGAGTCAGCCACTGATTGGTCCAATGTCAGAGCAATTTTATCCACACCGCCACTGATTGGTTGGGAGCTAGCCAATCACAGCAATTGAGTCTTTACAACTGCTGATTGGTCCACCTCCCAGGTGTGAGCTAACTGGAACTTTCCTTGGAAAACCAGATCTGGATTCTCTGACTTAGTGGTTCCTGCAAATTCAAGCCTTTGTGCCCCGACATGCAGGCTCCTGTAGGTCCCATCTCATCAACTGTGGCTTTGAGAGTCTGGGGGACTTCGTTAGAGAACAACTGGGAAACAGGTTCATTGAGTGGGACACCACTTGCCTACCCCATGCTGCCTGTGTAGAGCCTAGAGCACCATGTTCTGGGGAGTACAGAGAGCAGAGTGGAGGCACGGGGTGGGGGAGTCCAGGAGCCTGAGGCAAGGAGGGGGCCCTGAGGAGAACCAGGGGTGGGGTAGATGGATGGGTCTGGATGTGGAAGGGCTCAGGGATGTTTTTGAGGGTGGAGTGCCCAGAAGAAATGGATGTGGGCCTTTTCTTGTTCCTGCCCGATGTCCATGCACCTCCCCTCTTGTTGAAGCTGAGATAACTAGCTACCTTCTGGTGAGTGGAGTGGCACAGACCAGAAGCTTGCTGCAGAGCTTGGTCTCTTGAGGGTAACAGGTCTCCTTCCTGGCCAGAGGACTTTGTACTGCTCGCTCCCAAGGGATTCTTCATATGACTGCTCCTCTGAAGTGAGGAGAGGAGAGCTGAGCCCCATCCTGTGAATTTAGAGACTTAGAGTGGGGTGGTACTGGCATTCAATGGCACCTCGTTGCTTCTTTGGAGGAGGCCACAGCTTCCCTCAAAGAGAGGCTCAAAGGTTCATACCTTGTGTCCAATAAGGAAACAGATGGGGGTAGAGAACATGTAGTCCCTACTTGTCATTATACCTGATATTCCCTCGTGGGTCATCTTTGCTCCTGACTGGATTAGTAGTCTGATCCCAACAACTGGATGCCAGTAACATTCCAGGGCTAGTAATCCAGCAGCTGTGAGAGGGACTCTCAAACATCCAGTGTTCGGTGTATGACCAGGGCCACCTGGGAACACCAATACACAGGGAATCAGTGGATCTTGTGCAGACTGGAGCCCCTCTCACTCACTGCTGCTGGAATACGCATTGCAGCCTTCCAGGGCCTGAAACTTCAAGGCCCTATAAGAGGGTGGCTGGGCCTCTGCGCTCCGACATTAGGACTGGTGGGTACCAGATGGACGTATGAGTGTGGAGGCATGGGTCACATGAAGGGCCTGGGTCTGAGTCATTTCCTCCTTCTCTGGATTGGAGGGTGGAGGCCCCTCCTTCAATTTGAGTTGCTTTGGGGAGATAATTGCAGAATTGAGAGCGGGCTGGCTAGAGAGGAGTAGGACTGGCCAGGATAAGTTCTCCTGACTCGGAGGCCCCAACCTCTGAGACCCCGGTGTAGGTCAACACCCAGTCCTCATGGGCTCTACCTTCTGCTGACACCAGCTATTTCTGGCTTTGGGCGAGACTCATGCCAGGGGACTGACCCTCTGTGTTCCTTCCAGATGCTGAGCCCAATGCTGAACCTGCTGATGCTGGCATCGCCCCTCCTGTCTGGCGTGGTCCACACAGTCCCTGGTGAGTCCTGCCCAGGCTGGCCCTATCTGTCTGCAGCCTCACATCCCATAGGCAGGTGGGCTCAGAGCCCAGGGTCTCCCCAACACTGGGCAGGGTTGAGCCAGGGCAAGGCTTTTGACCTATCTTGAAATTACTCCCGACTCCAGCCACTGGCCTGACCCTGAAGCGAGCAGGCATTGTAGGGGGCCAGGAGGCCCCTGGCGGTAAGTGGCCCTGGCAGGTGAGCCTGAGGCACTTCAACTTCAACTTCTGGGAGCACTTCTGTGGAGGATCGCTCATCCACCCGCAGCGGGTGCTAACTGCGGCTCACTGTGTAGGACCGTGAGTGACTGTGGGGCTGGCAGGTGGGGCATGGTGCCAGTTTCCCCCTAGGTACTCCAGAACCTAGGATGTGTGGCTCAGCGAAGCCTTCCTGAGTAAGGCTTTGCCCTTCCCAGGGATAACATGAGCCCTGAATCACTGCGGGTGCAGCTTCGCAAGCAGCACCTCTATTACCAAGACCACCTGTTGCTCGTTAGCCGGATCATCACACACCCTGACTACTATGACGCCCAGAATGGTGCAGACATCGCCCTGTTGGAGCTGGAGGACCCTGTGAACACCTCCAGCCACATCCACCCCGTCTCCCTTCCTCCTGCCTCTGAGACCTTCCCCTCAGGGATGTCGTGCTGGGTGACAGGCGGGGGCAATGTGCACAGTGGCTGTGAGTGGCAGGGATAATGAGGGCTTGGACAGGTGGGGACTGGGTTATACCATGGCTCCAGCTACAGGGTTCCTTTAGGGTGACAGAGATGGGCCTTGATCTGTTTGTCCCTGAGATTATTTCTTCTCTCACCCCAGTGCCGCTCCCACTACCATATCCCCTAAAACAAGTGAAGGTCCCCATTGTGGAAAATCATGTTTGTGATGCCAAGTACCACATGGGCCTCTCCATGGGGGATCACATTCTCATTGTTCGAGAGGACATGCTTTGTGCTGGGAACAGCCAAAGAGACTCCTGCCAGGTGGGTCCCAACAGTATTCACTGCACCCCTCTACTCATCCTGGCCTTGCTCTTGAACACTGACCTTTGCTTTCCCCAGGGTGATTCTGGAGGGCCCCTGGTCTGCAAAGTGAGGGGCACCTGGATGCAGGCAGGTGTGGTCAGCTGGGGTGATGGCTGTGCTCAGGCCAACCGACCTGGCATCTATACCCGCGTGACCCACTACCTGGACTGGATCCACTGCTACAACCCTGAGCTGGGTTGTCAGAGCTGCCTCTGCATCAGGGGAGAAGCAGCCCCTTTTGTCCCCAGCATGCTGCCTCCTGCCCAGATAGAAGGCCCCTAGGCTTCCCTGTCCTGCCTTTAGCCCCCTCCCCTATTATCCCTCCCCTTGTGCTAACCCTCCGGCAGCTGTGTCTCATTAATATGCATGAAAAGCAACCATGGCTGTCCCTGAGTTTCTAGTTGTAGGTTCTTCACTGGGGAGAAGAGCCAGGGTGTAGCTTCATGGTTGTGGGTCCTCATTGCCTGAGATGGCATGTTGCCCTGTGAGTCCTCCTGCTTGGGCTCTTGTCCCTAGATCCCACTTCTTCCTCACCAGCTTATTGCCTTTGGTGATTGGTACCATGTCCTCAGGACAAGTAAAGCAAAAGGGACTTCTTGGGAGCTAGGTACCCACAAACAACAGGGTCAGGGGATTGAGCATTATTGTTCTAAGCCTCCAAGGCCCAGTCCCTATTCCAAGCATCACCCCCGCCACTGTCCTGACCAGGCTGTGGTGGGAACTTTCCCTGTGTCTGATGAGACATTCCTCTGTGATCTGATTGGAGCAACTTCTGGAGATTTGCTTTCCCCCTGAACCCCATGTTGATGACCTTCTCTGTCACCAGCAGCGGCTTTGAGGCATTCCCAAATGGGGTTCTAGGGCTGGAGTAGTCATGGCTGTTCCTATGCATGTGCTGGTGAGAGGAGCTACTGGGGCCAAAGGGGACACATGTTCAATGTGTTAGGACACCCCCCGGACCTGTTAGCACCCTCTCCCACCCACCACCAGCACACTTGGTGCTTTCTTACACTCCACCTGCACCATTCTGTCTGGTGGCATCACATGAAATGCATCGCCTCTGTTATGATTACCATGAAGGCAGCCCTTTCTTGGCTGGAGCCCTCCCCTCCATTGTGGGGATAAGAGGACCATCTTCCCTGTGCCCTGCTGGGGTGAAGCCCCTGAGGCCACATCTTCCGTCATGCCGCCCACTCCGTGAGTGCATGTCTACACCTGCACATGTCTCTTCTGGGACACCCAGTTATTTCTCTGTTTTCCCCACTGTAGGTACCTGGGATTGTTTTTCCTATACTTTTTTTCTTCTAACTTAGACCATTCACCTCAGATCAAGGCCCGGAAGCCTCTTCCTGGCTTGCAGCTATGGTGCAGATTGTGTTCCAGATGCCCAACCTTGCAGCCTGTCTGGGCCACTGTGACATATGGGGACTGAAAGAATGCCCCTTCCTAGCCAAGCTGTAGGAACTTAGGAACTCAAGGAAGGGCTAGAGTGGGACTCAGATATGCCTGCTTAGGAAGTTCACACTCCACCTGGCAAACCATTCCTGTGCTCTGGCTTCAGATTCTTATATCCATCATGTGGCCCCTGGATATATATGCTGCCATGTCAGATATGCTGCTGCCAGATATGTTTGCGCCAGCGGCCCATTCCTGCCCTGGTGTGCATTGCAGTGGACATGACTGTGTTTTTAAGCCACATATGATAACTTTCCTAAAGCCCACAATTTAAAGGAGTGGTTCATTTTGGCTCATGGGTTTTGACAGATTCAATCCACAGTTGTCACTCCATGGAAGGAACATCATGGTGGGAGGCTGTGGCAGAGAAGAGATGTTTAAGGTGACAGAGGAGCAGGATAGAGGAAGACTACCAGAGAAGGAAGGGGTAGAAAACAGACATGGTCCCCAAGGCCACCCCTCCACTGCCTACCCAGAAGTGCACTCTATCAATCTCCTCAGTGGATTCCAGAGCCAGTCAAGCTGAAAGTACACACCTTAACGAAATGGGTGGCTACAGCTCAGTCCTTCAGGATTCATTCTGGGGCTTTGAGGTGGAAACAGATTCTTTGAAGAGGCTTTCACTTGTCTCTATTATCCGTTGTCTGGTGCAAATACCTGTATTTGCCCTGTAGATTCTCTGGATGATCTCTAACCTTCTCAGGGAGATCCTTAAAGGACCCACCTGGCCCTTCTCCAGCCCCCAACCCCAATTTGTGTGGGCCTGCATCCCACAGAACGGAGCAGGGAAGGATGCCAGGAGTGTCTCTGGGGGCCCTGCTTTGCACAGTGACAGTTCCCCCACAGTTCTGGTGCCCTCACTCTCCAAAGAGAAATCCACTGGGGAGGAGGTGCTAAACTGCTCTATTACTTTTTTTTTAAATAACAAACATTTGTTATTAAAAAAAACCCCCTGCAAATCCATCCCTCCATCTCCTGCCCCTCCCCACTAGCTTTCACTGTTGGCAGACAGACTGACTTCTGATAAGTGCTAAAGCTCCAGTAAGTTGGTTCAGACATCCTTAGCAGAGGCTGTGCAGGGTGAAAGGCAAGGGACAGAGGTCCTAAGGAGGTGAACAAGGTCTTGAAGTTGGGTTGGAAGGAAGGTGGTCTCGTTCTAGGGCTTTCCTCTTATCTGGCACTCAGCCCAGCAGCAGATAACACATAAAAGTGAGGGTGGTGGCACACACCGGTAATCCCAGCATTTGGGAGGCTGAGGCAAGAGGATTGCTGTGAGTTCAAGGTTAGCTTGGAGAACACAGAGACTATCACAAAAACTAAAAAAATTTAAAAAGTGAGGGTTGACACTATTGAGGTGGCTGCCAGGAAGGGCCAAAAAAAAATTGAATAATTTTCTTTGTACAGCTGGGGCTCCTCCCCAGGTGATAGTGCCCAAGAGACAGATGTCCCCAAGCTCCAACTCTCCTGGGATCCCAGCTATAGGACACCTGCCAGAGGCTACCACCAGGGCCAGGGCACCCTACCCCCACATGCTCTCTGGAAAATGAAGACAGACTTCCACTTGTCACAGCATTGCCCATGGGACAGAACAGAATGTTCCAGAGTATCTTCCTTGACAGCAGACCTGGGATCTGGGTGGTGTTGAGGGCTCTGCAGGGAGCAGGGTCATGGGATGCAGGTTGGGCAATGAGTTCCCTGGTGCTGCAGATGGATCAAGCTGCAACAAGAGAGGGCAGTGAAGGCCCCTCTTGGGGAGACCTGGAATGACCCTGGGGAAGGTCTCAGGATTTGATTCCATGAAGATCCTGCTCTTCCCACCTGCTTCAAGCCCACTGGGTGACATCAGACTCCTGGGTCCCCAGGTAAAGACAGCATGGGCTGGGGACACCTGCTTCCCGTCCTGCTGCCCCTGGGCTGTGTCACCAGGCAGATCTCTCCTTCCCCATGCAGCACCTCCCAGGTGTGGCCATTCTAAAGGGGAGGGTGGGGGAGCTGATGTTATCTCTATTTGTCAGTAGGTCGGCATTTAACACATATGTTTGAGGCAAGGCCATCAATACCAGGTCGTGGTGTAAAGGAGTCCAAGTTTATTCCTTGTGAAGCTGCATCCTGAAAATTATCAGGTTATTCCCATGTCTCAGTACTTTACACTTAAAAGGGAATACTTGATTTAGAGGGTCTCGGTGGAACTCTGCATGCCCAGCCTGTGGTTTGGAGATGGAGAACGTCCCTTACTCTTCCTGGGGCTTCCAATCAATTTGGTCATCAGGCTTCAGCTATACAAGCAGCCCTGGGCAGCTGAAGAGCACTGTCCACTTGATGTTTAGTGTAGACAGGGAGGGAACCCAAGAACAAATGTGAGGACACGACATTGCAGAGGGTATATTATCATGGAAGCCTAAGATGACTCCTCTACGTTGTCTGGGCCTCAGGTTGGGATTGAGAAGCCCCATGTGACCTATGGGAACCAGGGAGGGATTCCTGGAAGCGGTGGCATCAATTCTGACCTATGTTGGGAACAACAAATGCTCAGGTTTACAGTGGGGACTCCTGAGTCTCACCCTGTTCCTGCTGTGGTCTAACTTGTTCCCTGAGCCATGCACTGACTACCTGGGCTGCAGTGTTACCTGGGCTGCAGTGTCACCTGAAGACAAAGGGAGGTGACAATTCCCTTTGCAGTATATAGAGGGAACAAGATGGGGCTTGTCAGTGGCACCTTTCCTCCTCTTCCCTTGCCTCTAATAGCAGGTGTGAAGTCTTCCCTATCCAGCCCCACCCCACCTCACACACCACACCACACCAGCAGCCCAGGACTCAGAGTGGACCATCCTCCTCGCCCTATCACAGACAGACAACACGGTCTGTGAGCCAGTGACCTCTTGCAGCTCCTGACTGTGCCTGGTGGGCAGCCAGCCTGGATGGAGGTGGGAGTGCTGCTGGAGAGCACCTGCATCCTGCTGGGATGGGGTGGACCCTACAACCTCTCTTGGAGGTGCCATATTTCCAATCAGCCACAGAGTTGGAGCCTCCAAGCCAGACACTATGGTTCTAAGCCAAGAGACGGGAAAATACCAAGTGTCCTTTCAGTGGGGCTTGGTGTGTCACGACCCTGGGTGAGGTACCAGAGATAGAGGCATCATGTGGGGGGTAGGGGAACCCAGAACCCAGACATGGTGAAGCCTTCTTGAGGAAGGGTGCTGGAGGGCATGGTGGCCAAGACTGAGGCCTCCCAACTGCTGTGTATGACTGGTCACCATGGCTACTGCTTATTTTCATGGCTACTTTGCACCTGGGATGGTGACTAGTAGTTCTGTCTGCCTAGGTACTAGGTTCAGATGCTTAGAATAGGGGACCTATCCTAGAGTCACCCTGAAACTCAGTGGGCATCACTCAGATCTTTGGGGTTTGAGGACCTCTCTGGACATTTGCCTTCACCCTGACATTCTGTCTCCACCTCCCTGGATTCTCTACAGTGATGTGACGTGGGTTAATTGGCACCCCCAACTCCCCAGGACTTCTGGGGTCTAGCTGGGACATCATCCTTGTGCATGCAGGTAGCCTGACAGGTCCTGCCTGTCTGTCTCAAAGGGACCTTGATTGACTTCCACTCCAGTATGTAGTGTTGGGTGATGGGCAGGAGCTACACACAGGAGGGGTGACAGACCCCTCCATCACCCTGTCTGTGGGGATGGGGAAGGAAAGTGACACCTGGAGATGCCACTGCCTCCAGGAAGCCCTCCCTGGTTCCTGCAGGTCACATGGGTCATCTCAGGAAAATCCAGCACCCTTTTCCCCATGAGACTCTGCAGCCAGGGATACCCCCCTCAAAAAAAGAGGGTACAAGATTGGAATAGAGGCCTGG